TGCAGTAGACTGAGACCGCTTTGCTATGGTGCTCTTTCAGTAGACTGAGACCGCTTTGCTATGGTGCTCTTTCAGTAGACTGAGACCGCTTTGCTATGGTGCTCTTTCAGTATGTTTAATGCAATAGTTTTGTGCAATACTTCAGGGATTCTCCACCTATAGATATCCATCGTTCCTAGTTTTTTTAAGTTGAGAAAAAAAATGATAAATATACTTAAAATTATCTGTGAAAAGCGCAAAACAATTTGCATTATGAATTTCTAGTAATGCCGATTTGGTTACAACTGAGCAACAACTATTGCAACTGCTTTTGTACAACGTCTTAGTTTTATATTACATTTTTGAATGTATTACTGGACTACGCTATATATACTGCTTTTATAAAAGTCTTAACGTGGTAAGTTTCGGAAAAAGTGAGGTGCGTCGGTTAATGGGTGTTGTAAAAAGTACAAAAACAAATAAACATTTAAATGCAGTGCTGATATCATTTTGGTAATTTGTTTTGCTTTGTGGGGATTAGAAAACAATTTTCATAACCAACTTAAACATGAAGATTAATCATCATAATTTGATTCGCTTTCATCACTGGTTTTAAATCATAGAAAACAAAATCGTGATCTGCACAATAACTGCAGATATTATGGAAAATATACATCCAACTATTTTCTGTAACCACTTGTCCTATTCAGGGTCAGGGGGGGTCCGGAGCCTATCCCAGATGCAATGGGCTCAAGGCAGGGAATAACCCAGGATGGGGCGCCAACCCAACACAGGGCACACTGACACATGCACAACTATGGACAATTTGGCAACTCTGTATGTTTTTGGTCTGTGGGGTGGGGGGGGGCAGGAGGGGAGACTGGAGTACCCAGAGGAAACCCCAGGATAACACAGGGAGAACATGCAGACTCCACACACAAGGAGCCATGGTGGAGACTTGAACCCATATCCTAGAGGTGCGAGGTAACAGCACCACCCCACCATGCCATCTCGGCCCGATAATGACCCGGCCCTTCCCCCGACTGAGGAGGGCTCGCCTGGCTCCTGACATGAGTTGTTACGGCAGCATCTTGGTGGGAAGGAGCTCATGGAGACAAGCTGTGGCTTTCAGCTTCCTGTCCGCTCTAACGCTCTGAAACCATTCTTAAATGGTGGGATTTGAACCAGCAACCTTCTGATCAGAGGTCACAGTGCTCGGCCACCAAGCCACTCACTGCGCCCATTGACATGTAATTGCTTGCATGATCTCCCTCTGCTTTTTCCAGCCCCTCCAACTTCCATTTTCAGTCCAAACACAAGCAGTAAAGGTCACCTGACCAATCCAGGGTGTCCCCCGCCTCGCACCCAGGTCTTCCGACTCATGCTGACCCTGTACTGTGTAAGCTGCCAGAAGATGGGTACGTGGAAACCTTATACTCACACAGGCAACAATTTACACCCACTGCTGTGTATTGAACCAGACGAAGCTCTACAACTTCAGAGGAATATCAAGTAAGTGTTTGTCCTGCTACTGTGAAAAGGTTTGATATGTCCTGGGTACGCCTGTGCTGCGGAGGAATGCATTCCGCCTTTTGCCGTCTGTTGCACTGCCTGCTTCCCACGTAACTTGGAAATTTTTGCATTTCCAGTGTGAAGCAATGCAAACCAAGGCCTGTTCACAACAGCACTTAGCACTATAGCTCCAAACAAAACTCACCGGCATGGCAAACATCCCAGTGTCCTCACTGTTGGCTGGACAAGCCGAATATGTTTACAGGGCACGGTTCTAAAGGACACTGTTTGCTCGGAGGTGCGGCCCGGCCACAAAAGCCGGCACCTTTGCACAAGTATTCGCGGGAAGTACTTTCCGCTCTCCTATGTCTAGTGTCCTGCGTGACCCAAACATCTTCAGCCCACAAAATTCAGCCTGTAGCGGCAAAAAAACAACATAGCATAGTCTGCGGTTTTAATAGCAGAGGACGCTTCAAAGGGTAGCTTTTCATGACAGTGAGACGTGTCTAAAGCGCAGGGTGGATGAAACAAAAGCGAGAAAAAAGAGGGACTTCACTAAAACGCTGAAGTGAGATAAACACCGACTTGCTCAACAGGAAAGTTCAACTAAGAATGAATATAATTCATAAGGCATTGGGGTTAAAGGAGGATTTTTATAATGGTTTAGGGTTAGATGTATGGTGAATACTAGCAAAAAATGTTCTTAAAATGCAGCATTCCACACCATATGGATACACCTTTTTAATGGTGCCTTAAAGTACAATACTATGTATGTATTATGATATTTTTAAGTGTCTTAGTCTCTGATTGTTTTCAAGACATTCTGACACTTTCTTACCCTGAAGGTGTCCAGTCTAAGTGGAGTGATGTTCCTATCTTACTCGTAATGTGATTTCCTGCGATGTGAGTTGCACCCATCGGGGGTGTAACCTGTCCCCTCCCCCGTGCCTCCTAGGTTTTTTTTTTTCTTTTTCTTTCATTACGGGACAATCCCGTAAAAAAAACTCCAGGCTTAAAATTGCATCAAACAATTTTAGCTGAAGGCCCTGCGCTTCAAACCCGTGTAAGTCCCGTGTACTGAAATCCCCCGACTTTATCCGAGTATACGCCCGTATTTTCCACTTTTCTTATAAAGTTGGCAAAGGTTTACAAAAAAGAAAAAAAATCCAAACAGAATAATGTTATTTTGCTGGATTTAAATTTACAGTCCAGTAACCAAGTATCTCCAGCGTGAATAGTACAGGGAAAGACTCTCCTCTAGATCCAGCAGCGCTCTTTGCTGGCAGGGATCTGTCCCGAGCCATCTGCGGGCTCCACTGTGGTGACATCCACAGTATCACCGCCGGGTGCCAGCACCGGAGCTCCGGCGCCTCCGGCGAGCGCTCCCGCAGGATCTGGCTCGGAATGCGGCGCAGTAAATCGTAGCTTAGCACGCCCGAGTGTGAAACCGGCAGATAAGCAACATTCTAGTAGGTAACCTACTAAAAAAAAGCAAAACCATAATATACTTACATATATAAATACATGACTAAGAGTCACTATATGTGTGTATGTGTGTAAATATATATATATAAATATATACACACACACACTCAGGTTTGTGATTATATCTCCTTTCATTTCCATGGAGAAAACTCAAATCTCAACATAACGACCTTAACCCCTTATGGCCAAAACCATGGAAACACTTCCCATTTTTTTGAGATTACAGAACTTTATTCAACTGTTGCTCTATAGCTACTTTATTTTATCGTCAAAAGTATGATATATGTAACATTATTATTTGTTTATAAACATCACCGCAGATACACGCACACACACACACACACACACACACACACACACACAAACTAGAGAATAAAAAATAGGACCGGTTTGTGCTTTCTTTTACTTGCCGCTCTGTAAATAAAGAACTGTAAATGTTCATACAAAAATACAAGCACTAAAAAAGGAATAACATCTTATTAAATCAGCCGAAACATTTAAAAGTATGAAGCATGTAGCTTTTGGGTGTCATGTAGGGGCTGTCTCGTTGAACACTAGAGGGCGCTGCAATACCGCCATATTTCAGAGCGGTGGTCATTCTTGCCGGACCAGTGCGGGCGTGTATAACACAACACAAGGGATTTATTCATTCCAGCCTGATTGAACATGTACCACGTGACATTATTCTCGATACTAGGAGATTCCTTCATACTTTTATTATAGTTTGCAGCAATATATTCACATTGTTTAAGCTTTTGTGTCGTTTTATGAGATGAGTATAACATAATTAGTACAGCCAAACTGAAAACAGTAAAGAATATATTTTTGTATAAATTTAAATGCTGTAGTTATGTGACAGATTTAGGACAAGTGGGTGTGGAAGATGATCGAATGATAAGGGAAGTTTATTAAGCTGTACGTTACCCAGTTGTCCGATAAATGTACAAAATCATTTCAGGTAATCCTAACTTGCTGAAGGATACAGAAACACTTCACTTCCTTGAGTATGAACCTTCCACATCCCAAGGGGGAAAAAAAATGTCTATTTTTTTAATAAAGGATGGTTCTTCACTGTACGGAATGAAAAAGAGAAAAGACTTTCTCATACAGTGCCCAAGTATCACAGCGTCTGCCATGGAGGGGGGGCGGGGGGGGTTCGGAAAAGTAGCGAAATGCACAGGCACCGTGACAGGTGGTTTTAAGAAATCCTACAGATTTAAAATAAGCCCAAAAATAAGCCCACTGAGTTAATACTGCCATCTGCTATTGCCATCTTCCAGGACCCAGTTCTTCACGATGCGACTCCAAGGCGGTTTAGCTTAACGAAAATTATTTCTGCAGCACTTTTGAGTGAATGCAAATGCGATCTATTCAATTCACTGCGCAGGCTTTACTGTTCATTTTTAGAACAGCATCTCATTTGGAATGTGTTGGGAAGACGAATCAGTCCATCCATCCATCCATCCATCCATCCATCCATCATGCTGGTCTGCTGGTCAGTGTCATGTTGGTCTGCTGGTCAGTGTCATGTTCCAGAGATGCTTTTACAACATAAATTAAAAATCACAAAAGTTAGCTTGGACAGAACAAAATATTGAATGAAAAAAAGTCATTCAAACGATTAAAGTGCAATTAAGAGTAATATAACATAATTTTCTTTGCTTAGAAGATAAGCATGTTTGTTCTTATTTAAGTAGGCCTATTTTGCAGTGAGGGTGGGTCTCTTCCTAAGGCTTTGACAGCCCTGTCCTTCCTGGGACTTGCGGTTGTCTGTTGTCGTTCTTTAACCGTTGCTTGTCCAGACTCCTGT